CCATTGTGGGACTAGCCATGTAGGGTTTTTGGCTAAGATAGCTAGTGGCAATGTTGTGGCTTAGTATTTCGCTTTTCAGTGCATGCCCTATTTACTAGCTATCGCTTTTGCTTTGTATCTTTATTCTAGATTTTATGGTGTTCCTATTTTTCATATGATTGTTGTGGTGATACTAATATTTACTAATATTGTCTCCCTTTGCTTTGCATCTTTCTTCTGGACTTTATGGTGTTCCTATTTATCATATGATTGTTGTTGTGATACTAATATTGTCCCCTTTTTGTCCTTTTGTCTTTTTTTTATTTTTTTTTGAGCCGAGGGTCTTTCGGAAACAGCCTCTCTACTCCTTCGGGGTAGGAGTAAGGTCTGCGTACACACTACCCTCCCCAGACCCCATTAGTGGAATTTTACTGGGTTGTTATTGTTGTTGTTGTATAAGCTTGAAATGATATAGTAGATGGAAGAAGCTCATGCAACACTTAAAAAGAACCCTACAATTTCCTATCTTTCAACTACAAGAACAGCTTCTGTTTTTTCCAGCAGTATGTGATAGGTCTATATAAAAATATCTTTTGTTGAAAAGAAAAACTACAAGAAGGCTAGATATGTTGAACTTGTTAAACTTGACTAACCAGTGTAGATACTCCCTCAGGTTAGGGTTGCTTGGGCTTGGAGCATCAGGATCCACCATAACCTTGGGAAAAAAAGAGAGCACAAAATCTCAAATGTCATCAAAATATTCCATATTAAGAAAGACAAAGAAATTAAAACTAAACACCACCATTTTTATATATATATATATATATGCTCCCTCCTTATCCATTTTACGTGGTGGGATTTGGAATATGGGGTCAAACTGCTTAAATTTCAATGCGAATCAATTATAAATGGTTAGGGCTTTTAATTTTAAAATAAAACAGAAGAAAGATGACTTACCAGAGTGTAAAAGTTGCGAAGATCATCCCCTCCAATTTGAACCCTAGGTTGCGTAACAATTTGAGAAGGTTTCAAGCCACATGCATTGTTGACTTCCCTATTATTGTAAACCACTCTAAGATCAACAGACCTTGTGAATGGATCTAAAACATCTCCTACCACACGACCAACTATCAAAGGATCTATTCTTGGCATGATGATAGAAGATGTATAATATATTATCACTATACACTAAATACTTTACTTTNATGATTTACCAGAGTGTAAAAGTTGCGAAGATCATCCCCTCCAATTTGAACCCTAGGTTGCGTAACAATTTGAGAAGGTTTCAAGCCACATGCATTGTTGACTTCCCTATTATTGTAAACCACTCTAAGATCAACAGACCTTGTGAATGGATCTAAAACATCTCCTACCACACGACCAACTATCAAAGGATCTATTCTTGGCATGATGATAGAAGATGTATAATATATTATCACTATACACTAAATACTTTACTTTTCTCTTTCAAAGTTATTGCAATTCGTGATCAGAGGGAGGAGCTAGCTATGGCTATTTATATGAGCAGTATTGTTGATATTGTGTGGTGCCTATATGCTTAATTGGTTTTTGTACTATGCCAAGAATCCTACCTTTTTATGGTATTCTCCTACTAGAAAACCCTATTCTTAGTTGATGCCGATCTTTGTAAGACAATGAACTGAGGAGAATATGCATCTCAAGTTCAGGTGACATATGTGTGGGTTGGATCAAAATCGGACTAGCCGAAAAGATCAATAAACGGGTCATGATCCAGCCCCCCAAAATTTTCTTGAGTCAAAAAAATCAAATTAAATAACGTGTCATAAATAAACTCGTCCAACATGACCCAACTGACTCTCTTTTTTAACTTTGCTTTTGAAAATGAAAATGTAAAAGATGATGTGATTTTATTAGCTTAAGTTTTTCCAAGTTCGCGTAATTCTTAGTCTCCAAATTAGATTTTGTACTTGGGTTTTGATTGCATTTCGACTCATTGGGTTACATACACTAATCATGATTCCTTTTGACCCAACACTAGTTTGATTAGTCATTTTGGATTCAAAACGAATTATAAACTGATAAGTTATGTGTCCTGCTATGTTTTGATGATCTGACAAACGTAATATTCAGAACCAGATGGGGAACCTGTTCCACATCCTCTGAGTGCTCAAAGATCAACAAGACTCAAGTCTGGGACATGATCCAACTTTTAGAGTCCAAGAAACAACAGAGGGAAAAGATCGACATCAGTTCCCTTGCTGACAGTACCAATCAACTCCCCACAGCTGTAAAGTGACTGCAACTGTTCCTCTGCACACACCCAACAGTGCAAACAGTGGAGCAGTCACTTTATAGGGAATGCCTTTGTACCAAACATGCTTGCATCATTCAAGTGATGTCACTTATGTAATATTAATATGAAGCAAAGCAAAAACAAGACACTTGCACACTCAGAATTGAGCAAGCTCTCTTTCAAGTGTATTGTCAACTTGCAAGTGATATTCAAGGAATCAAGAACAAAGAGCAACATAACGAATGACCAGTTTCTTGCATTGAGTCATCATATGTCCTTAGTTGTGTAGTACCTTTGTCAGAACAATTTACTTGTAATTCCTACTTAGCTTAGTTAGAAGCATTGTGTAGGAAACCCTTGTAAAATCATAAACCATACGTTTGTGTCTTGGCTAGAGTTAGTCGAGTTGTAAGCTTTGTAATAGAGTTATTACAAAGGGGCTTGTAATAGAGTTGTTATAAGTTAGTGAGGAATTAAGAGGTTAATTCCTAGGTTACAACAGTTTTGTAATCTAAAGTTTGCTCANAAATCATAAACCTTGTGTTTGTGTCTTGGCTAGAGTTAGTCGAGTTGTAAGCTTTGTAATAGAGTTATTACAAAGGGGCTTGTAATAGAGTTGTTATAAGTTAGTGAGGAATTAAGAGGTTAATTCCTAGGTTACAACAGTTTTGTAATCTAAAGTTTGCTCAGTAGTGAAGTTGAAATCCTATAAGGATAGGTCGTGATTTTTAATCCCGTGAGCTGGGAGTTTTTCACGTAAAACTCCACTGTGTCATTTACTTACTGTTGTGTGCGTGCGTTCTGTGGAAACTGATAGAGAACCTGATTTTCTATATAGTTTGGTGGACCCTTAGTTTCTATCAATTGGTATCAGAGCAGGTTCTTTCTATTAGGCTAACACCTAGAAAGGATCCTCATGGCTACTCCACCAAACTTTGAAGAAGGTCAATCAACCTACAGACCACCACAATTTAATGGCCAATACTATGGATGGTGGAAGACAAGGATGCATGATTCTATCATGGCTGAAGACTCAAAACTTTGGGATGTCATCTGCGATGGTCCTTTTGTTCCTATGAAGACCATTGGAGAACCAACAATGTTAGTTCCCAAGACTAGGAAAGAATACAATGATGCTGACAAAAAGGATATAGAGAAGAACTTCTGAGCCAAAAATATCCTCGTCTGTGGTATTGGACCAGACGAATACAACCGGATTTCTGCCTGCCAATCTGCCAAGGAGATCTGGGAAGCTCTCCAAACAGCACACGAAGGGACTACTCAAGTCAAACAGTCGAAGATTGATATGCTAACCACTGAGTATGAGCTACTCAGTATGAAGGACGATGAGTCCATCCAGAACATGCACACTCGCTTCACTTCTATCATCAATGAGCTCCATTCTCTGGGAGAAATCATTCCAAGAAACAAGCTTGTCAGAAAAATACTCAGCGTATTACCTGGATCCTAGGAAAGCAAAGTAAATGCTATCACAGAGACAAAGGATCTGCAGAAGCTGATCATTAATGAACTTATTGGCAATTTGAAAACTTATGAAATGAAGGAGAAGGATAATAAGAGAAGAGAGCCCAAAAGGGAGAAGAACCCGGTCCTCAAGACAGACAAAAATGACTCAAGTGGTGAGGATGCCGATATGGCTTACCTGACAAAGAGATTTCAGAAAATGGTTCGCAGAAATGGAGGTATTCCAAAAAGGGGCAGCTCTAGCAAGCCAAGAGGCTATGACCTATTTCATAAGTGTGGGAAGCCAGGACATTTCATCAAGGATTTCCCCCTCCTCAAGCAAGATCAGTACAAATACAACACAGATAAACCAGCCAAGAGGAACCCGGTTCCTAACAAATGATTCAAGAGAAAAGATGTCGCTGACAATGTCTTGAAGCAAGCTCTTCCTGCATGGGGAGACTCCTCCAGCGAATCGGAAGAGGATGATGAACAAGGTGACAGCTCCATGATGGCAGTAGAGAGTGAAGAAGCTAAATATGATTCTATCTTTGCCCTGATGGCAAAATCGGATGATGATGAAGATGATGATAATGAGGTAAACTTTCTGGACGTTCAAAGAAATTTGAAGTCCTATTCTCAGAAAAAGCTTATATCTTTGGCATATATTTTAATTAATGCTTATCATAGTCTTATAAATAATAAAAATGCATTAACTGTGGGATTAGGAGAAGTAGAACATGAGAGGGATTATCTAGTGATTGTCGTGGTCGATTTAAAAGAGACCATTGAGTGCTTAAAAATGATAAAAAAATCTCTAACTGAAAAGATTGCTAGCATAGAGCATGAGAGAGATGACTTCTTAGTAGTAGTCATAGACTTAAAGAAAATAATTGAGGAACTAAAAAGGGAAGGTAGGCATGAGATCACCCAAAAGGGAAAGGGAGTTACAAGTGAGACACACATTAAACTTAAAAATGAACTCCAAACTGTGAAATCTAGTGTGTGTGCAGAACTTGAAAGAAACAGCCAACTTCAAAAAGACCTAGGCAAAGTTAAAAGTGACCTCGAAAAATCTCTAAAGTGGACCTCGTCCTCTGATGCAATTGCTACCATGTATATAAGCAATGGTGGGAACAAGCAGGGAGTCAGGTTCCAAAGAGAAAAGACTCCCTACAACCCACATACCAAGTATGTTACTGTCCTTGATAACTGGTTTTGTACTCACTGTGGCAACACTGGCCACTTTAAAAAAACCTGTAAGGATAGAATTTTGTTTCCAACAGAAAAAAAAAGGTGTTTGTTGAAAAGGTAACTACTGCTAAGGAACCCGGTCCCTCCATTAAAAAACGTATATTGCCTGCCTGTACAAGAAGAAGTCTGATTCACCCTTTTTCTTACTACAAGGGACCCAAACTTATTTGGGTTCCTAAATCTAACCCTTGATTTTCTTGTGGAGGGAGCAGTGAAAGGAAGCAGCCAAAAATGATACATGGATAGTGGCTGCTCTAAACATATGAATGGAAGCACAAATAATTTCCTTTCACTCAAAGCCCTACAAGGAGGGAGTGTGTCCTTTGGAAATGGCAAAAATGGATACATTCTGGGAGTTGGAAGGATTGGGAAGTTTCTTGCTCACTCAATTGAAAATGTGTACTATGTAAACGGCTTGAAGTACAGTCTGCTGAGTGTTTCCCAAATCTATGACAAGGGAAACAAAGTGGAATTTGTGTCAAAAATATGCACAGTCACAAATCTTGTGACTGGTGAGGTGGTTCTGGTGGCTAAAAGATACAAAAACATTTATGTTGCTGTTGATGATGATGTTGAACCGTGGAACAGAAGATTGGGTCATGTAAGTTTTACGTTGCTGAACAAATTGGTCAAGAAGGACCTGGTTCGTGGCCTGCCCAAGTCAAGCTTCAAGGATCACAAGGTGTGTGATGCATGTGTAAAAGAAAAACAAGTCAGATCCTGCTTCAAACCCAAAAAGGAAGTTAGTACCTCAAGGCCACTTGATCTCCTTTATATGGAGTTGTGTGGACCTATGATGGTGCCAAGTAGAGGAGGAAAGAAGTACATTTTTGTTATAGTAGATGATTATCCCAGATTCACCTGGACCCTATTTCTCAGAACTAAGGATGAAACCTTTCAAGTATTTGCTGCATTTGTGAAAAAGATCCAGGTGAAGATGAGTCATAATGTAGTATGTATAAGGTCTGATCACGGCACAGAATTTGACAATGCCAAATTCGACGAATTATGTGCTGAAAATGGCATTACTCATAATTTTTCAGCTCCAAGAACACCTCAACATAATGGTGTTGTGGAGAGAAAAAATAGGACTCTTGAAGACATGGAAAGAACAATGTTGATTGACAGTGGCATTGCAAAAAAATTCTGGGCAGAAGCAGTCAACACTGCATGCTACTTGGTAAACAGGTGCATGATCAGGTCCCTCCTTAACAAAACCCCGTATGAACTGCTGAACGGGAGGAAATCCAAGCTGGCACATTTAAGGACATTTGGCTGCAAATGTTTTGTTATCAACAATGGCAAGGAAGCACTTGAAAAATTCGATACCAAAAGTGATGAAGGAATCTTTCTGGGCTATTCATCACAAAGCAAAGCTTACAAAGTGTACAACAAGAGAACTCAATGTGTTGAGGAAAGCATACATGTGATCTTTAATGAATCTCACCATCATTGTGGGAAAGATTCACATGATAAGATTCATCAAGACGGAGAATAGTCAGTTGTTCCTAGTGAAGTCATAGACATGGCAAATGGTAAGGCTTACATGATGAGTCAAGTCAAGGAATCAAATGATGATGGTGTAGCTGTATATCCAACTGATGTGGAGGAACCTAATTCCTCAATCACAACAACTGAAGTTGAGAACAGAGTTATTGATGCTATCCAAGGAACCCCACATGCTGAGCTGAGAAGCGAAACTCGCGACAACCAAGGATCACATTCAGAAATACCTGGACCCTCTCACAATGAGATTCAGGTGTTTAACCGGAAGCACAAAAGTTAACACCCTCTTGAAAGTGTGATCACTTCTCTTGAATCAGGGATTCAAACGAGGTGTCACGTCCCGAAATTTTCACCTTCGGACCGTGATGGCGCCTAACATTTCACTTGCTAGGCAAGCCAACGTTAGAATAATATTATCCATTTTAAAATAATTGTTAAATTTATTAATAACAAAGAAACAAATGCGGAAGTAAAGTCTGAAATATAGTGAATAATCCATAAAAATAATAGTGTCTAAATACCATCCTAGAATTGGTGTCACAAGTGCACGGGCTTCTAAAATAATACAAATAAAGGTCTGAATAAAATAAAGCTGTCTGAAAATAAACACACAGCTAAAGTAAAGTAGACGGGGACTTCAGAACTGCGGACGCCGTGCAGTTATACCTCAAGTCTCCTCTGGTAGCTGAAATCAGAGCAAGTCTATGGTACGCCGCTGGGACCAACTTCGAAATCTGAACAAAAAGTGCAGAGTGTAGTATCAGTACAACCGACCCCATGTACTGGTAAGTGCCAAGCCTAACCTTGACGAAGTAGTGACGAGGCTAAGGCAGGTCACTTACATTAACCTGTATGCAATAATAGTAATAACCACAATAATAGAATTAAATCAGGTAACTCATTTCTAATAGTTGAAGCCAACTCAGCAGTCATAACCAATTATTATTTCAATCAATTTTCGTTGCAGCGTGCAATCCGCTCCCACAACATATTCATTTTCAATCCTCCCATATATTTATTTTAATCTAGTATATATAGACTTTTAAATAAGTGTATTGCGGTGAGCAACTCGATCCCCCAATATGGACTTTTAAATAAGTCTATTGCGGCGTGCAACCCCGATCCCCCAATATGGACTTTTAATAAGTCTGTTAGGGCGTGCAACCCGATCTCCCAATATGGACTTTTAATAAGTCAGTTGCGGCATGCAACCCGATCCCCCAATATGGACTTTTAATAAGTCTGTTGCGGCGTGCAAACCGATCCCCTCAATATATTCATTTCAATCAATTTTGTTGCAACGTACAACCCGCTCCTCCAATATATCCATTTACCAATTCTTATAGAAGAAATTTCCCCAATAAATGCAACAATTAATATAAAATTTTTAAGACAACAAGCATACAATAATTATAATTTAATTATGAAACAAACAATGAAAAATAGCAATTTATTATGAAAATCAGGGAGAAAAAAAGGCAGTTTACTATTTAATATGTTAAATGTCAAGTAGCAATAAATACACATAAATCAAATCAACATGTAGCAATTATTGCAGGAATTTAAGAATTAATATTTGACAAAGAATAGGAGAGAAACAATTATCATACAATTAATTCGTGTATTAAAACAAATTTAGGATTTTCAAATAATTATGCAAATAATTAATTTGACGACGTATAGATACTCGTCACCTCGCCTATACGTCGTTCACAAGCATTTCACATAACAAATAATTTAAGGGTTCTATTCCTTCAAGTCAAGGTTAACCACGACACTTACCTCACTTTGTAATTTCAATCAATTACTCGACCACAACTTTTCCTTTTAAATTTGTCTCCAAAAGCTTCAAATCTATTCACAAACAATTCAATATACTCAATACGAATCATAGGAATTAATTCCATATGAATTTACTAATTTTCCGGATAAAATCTGAAATTCACTTTAAAAATTGACAGTGGGGCCCACGTCTCGAATCTCAGAAAACCTTATGAAATCCGAACACCCATTCCAAAACGAGTCCAACCGTATAAAAATTATCAAATTTCGATGTCAAATGGACCTTCAAATCTTAAATTTTCGTTTTTGGAAGATTTTATAAAAAATCTGATTTTTCTCCCAAAATTTCACGGATTCATGATATCAATGAGCATGGAATCATGAAGTATAATCAATATAGGATAAGGAACACTTACCCCAATATTTTCCTGTGAAAATCGCCTTACCCGAGCTCAAAAATGGACAATGGTTGAAAATGGGACGAATCCCATTTTCCAGAACTTAAGTTCTGTTTCTCGAATTTTTACCCTTCGCGAACGCAGTCAGTGCCTCGCATTCGCAAAGTACAAATTTGTGCTGTCCAATTTTACCCTTCGATAACGCGAGCTGCCCTTCACGAACGCGAAGGCAAATTTCTCTCCGGTCATTTACCCTTCGCGAATGCAAGGCTTCAATCGCAAACGCGAAGCTTTGCACCTCGACCCTTCGCGAACACACTCCCTCTGTTGCGAACGCGAAGCACAAAACGTGCCAGTCCAATTTACTCTTCACGTTCGCGAGAGTACCTTCGCGAACGCGAAGAATAACACACCAGAAGCCTGAAGCCTGCAGCAAACCAGATATTTCTAAGTCCGAAATCATCCCGTAGCCTATCCGAAACTCACCCGAGCCCTCGGGGCTCCAAACCAAACATACACCTAAGTCCTAAAATATCATACGAACTTGCTCGCGTGATCAAATTGCCAAATTAACACCTAGAACTATGAATCGGACACCAAATCAAAGGAAATTTTCAAGAAAACTTTAAAACTTATATTTTCACAACCGGACGCCCGAATCACATCAAATCAATTCCGTTTCTCACCAAAGTTGGCAGACAAGTCATAAATATTATAGTGGACCTATACCAGGCTCCGGAACCAAAATACGGACTCGGTGTCAATAAATTCAACATCAGTAAATTCTTAAAATTTATTAAGCTTTCAAACTTTTAATTTTTCATCAAAATTCCATATCTCAGGCTAGGGACATCGGAATTCAATTCCGGGTATATGTCCAAGTCCCATATCAAGATACGGACCTAATAGAATTGTCAAAATACTGATCCGAGTTCGTTTGTTCAAAATATTGACCAAAGTCACTCAATTGAGTTTTAAAGCTCTATTTCATATTTTTATCCATTTTCACAAAAAAAAATTCCGTAAAATTATACGGACTACGCATGCAAGTCGAGGAATGATAAATAGTGCTTTTCAAGGTCTTAGAATATAGAATTACTTATTAAATTTAAATATAACACTTTGGGTCATCATACAAGGTCAAAGTCCAAAAATGCGCTTTCCTTCTCACCCTTTCTTTCTCAAATTGAGCCCAAAAATATCAAGGAAGTATTGAAAGATGCTGACTAGATTATGGCTATGCAAGAAGAACTCCATCAATTTGAAAGGAACAATGTATGGCACCTGGTTCCTCAACCTGCTGACTGAACTGTTATAGGAACCAGGTGGGTATTCAGAAACAAGCTTGATGAGTTTGGGAACACAACAAGGAACAAGGCAAGGCTGGTAGTTCAAGGGTACAATCAAGAAGAAGGGATTGACTATGATGAAACTTTTGCCCCAGTTTCTCGAATGGAGGCCATCAGAATCCTTATTGCATTTGCTTCTCATATGGAATTTATATTGTTCCAAATGGAAGTCAAAAGTGCATTTCTAAATGGCTTTCTAAAAAAATAAGTTTTCATCAAGAAACCTCCTAGCTTCGAATGTCATGAGCATCATGAGCATGTTTTCAAACTCGACAAGGCCTTATATGGGATGAAGCAGGCTCCCCGCGCATGGTATGAAAGGTTGTCCAAATTTCTCTTAGAAAATGGTTTTACAAGAGGAAAAATTGACAACACCTTATTTCTGAAGAAACGAGGGAGGAACCTGCTTATTGTGCAAGTTTATGTTGACGACATCATCTTTGGTGCAACAAATGATTCTCTGTGAGGAGTTTGCAAAGCTCATGGGAAGTGAGTTTGAAATGAGCATGATTGGGGAATTGAATTTCTTCTTAGGACTGCAAGTCAAGCAAACTCCTAAGGTCACAATGATAAGTCAGCAGAAGTACATCAAAGAGCTTCTAAAGAGATTTGAAATGGAAAGCTCAAAAGTCATTGACACTCCTATTATCACTTCCCTGACTGGACATGGATGAACCTGGTTCCCCTATGAACGAGACCATGTACAGAGTTATCATTGGGTCACTCTTGTATCTCACAACAATCAAACTAGATATCGTTTTTACCGTGGGACTATGTGCCAGGTTTCAATCAAATCCAGAGGAAACGCATCTGAAGGCTGCCAAGAGAATCCTGAGATATCCAAAGGGAACGCAGGACCTGGTTCTCTACTACCCCTCAAGAGACAACTTCGACTTGATCGGGTATGCTGGTGTTAATTATGATGGTTATCTGGTGGACAGGAAAAGCACTTCTGGCATGGCACACTTTCTGGGTTCGTGTCTAATTTCATGGGGTACAAGAAAACAAAATTTAGTGGCTCTTTCAACTGTAGAAGCTGAATATGTGGAGGTTGTCTCTTGTTGTGCTCAACTGCTATGGATCAAGCAGCAACTAGAAGATTTTGATGTGTTTTCTGATTGTGTGTCGTTACTATATGACAACACCAATGCTCTCAACATGGCAAAGAACCCAGTTCAGCATAAGAGCATATTGATGTGCGATATCATTTTCTAGAGACAATGTTGAAAAGGGGCTTATCTGCATGAAGTTCTACAACACAGAAGATCAAATTGTATAATTTTCACCAAAGTACTGAGCAGAGAGCACTTTGAAAAGAATCGTCTTCCACTAGGGTTGATAAAATCAAGTTGAGGACCTGGTCCCTCGATGATTGGCTATGAAAGAAATGTACAGGTGAAATTGCTAAAATGTATTTTCTGGCAAGGTCTAACTCATTTCTATACCGTTACAGGTAGACACGT